AGAGAGAGAGAGAGAGAGAGAGAGAGAGAGAGAGAGAGAGAGAGAGAGAGAGATTAATGGGAACTATCAAGCACATGGACTGCCAAGTTCAATTATTTTTGGACCAGATCTGTGATTTCATTGGTATAAGGAATTCTTGGTGAGGAAATTTCCAAACTTATAAAGCTAGCAAAAAAAGTGAGCCCTATATAATGGAAATAGCATCCTTAACAGTAATCCTGAAAATATAAGACCCACACCTATTATTGGAAGGAGAATAGAAAATTTTATTTTTATATCCCTAGCACTTAGAACAGCACCTACCTAATACAGAGTAAGTACTTAATAAACACTTATAAAATTGTGAAAGTTTCAGGATTTGTTGCCTTACCAATTAACTGGGGTCTCTGCTATTTCATTGCAGGAACCTGCTGTAACAAAAACATCAATTTTGAAAGAAATTGGAAGAGGAAGATTGCATGCTACCATCATAATATGGTGTGGCAGTAACACAGTTACCTATGTCTGGGTTGTACTCTGAGGACAAAAAAAGAAGCATTCTTTAAGCATGGTTGAGTTGGGGAAATGTCTCCATCCAGTCCAATTTTTTCCCTCTAGTTTAGGTTTCAAGCAGAGATTTTTACAAGCATCTAGGTGATCAAAAAAAAAAAATCAAATTGTAAAATATATTGTACAAAGACAGGGTATAGGATGGATATAATCAATTGGGATTAGAAATTAAAATTACTATTACATTTTATTACTAGTTCTTCCATTGACCTCTTTGAGCACATCACTTGATTCTCTGTGCCTCAGTTTTCCAAACTGGAATATAGGGTGAGAGTACTACGTACAGATGTTGTGAGACCTTAGCTATTCGTAAGGTACTTTTGATAGCTAGGTGAAAAGGGGAAAAATTGTAACATATTGTTCATTTTAAGTATCTTTTTTTGGAAAATAAATAAGTACCTTTTTTTAGAAGTTATAGTAGGAGCAACAGCTATTAATCTAGTTGGGACCTATGAAAGTAAAAATAAAAGGGAATGAAACTGTCCTTGAGACTTAATTGGTTCAGGGCACTATTTGCAACCACTGATGGAGCTTTTTGGTTGCCAAAGGAATAAATGTCTGGCACGTGCATAGCTGGTGCTTCTCAGAATTGAGGGACATCCCACAAGTCAACAAACCCTTCTGACTGGGTGCACCAGATGGCAAATGATGAAAGGGGGAGCTGAACCCAACTAAACCAACACTATGTCTTTGCTGCGTATCCTTTCCATCTTACTGTTGAAGTGAACTTCCCTTTAAAAAACTGTTATATGCTGTAAGAGTATCTCATCTAATTCCAATCCTGCGCACCAAACATCAGACTGTCCTGAGTCAGACCTGGATCAGAACAGAAGCTGAATTTTAATAGTATTTGAACCAGACAATGCAGACTCTTTTCTAATAAAGAAACAAATAAAAACATATTTTGATATAGTGTGGTGAGGTATGCTATACTGTTCTCACTAGCAAGACTTCAGAGTTTCTAGATGCAACATTCATTATGTCTGTTTTGTTGTTAATATTTCTTAAAAAAATCAATGTCAAGGATAGAATATAAGTTCCTCGAGGGCAGGGATTGTTTTTATTTTTGTCTTTGTATTTTCAGCACCTAGCACAGTGCTTGGAATGTAACAGGTCTTAATAAATGCTCATTGAATTGAATTGAGTTGAATGATGCATATACCACAGTGTCATAGATTTTTGGTATTTTTTTAAAGTTACCAAGGATAAGAAGCATGTATCAAATTAGAAAATTCCTCATAGGGAGAAAGGTAAGTTTAATCATCCTGGGGATGGGGACCTCAAGCCAACAGAACTAAGGATAGTCTTAGGCAATTGACTGGTAGATGTGAGTCTGAACTCGGAAAAGCCTTGATTTTCCTACTGACAGGCTCTGGCATGCTAGAAAATCACAATGTCTCTGGTTCTTGGTACCTCAATTTGGAAAGTGCCATTTGGCTACTGGACAGTGTGTTCTTTGTATTAGCTAGTGTAATAAAGAATGTCACATATTGGCAAACGCAGGCTTTTACTGTTTGCTTTCTTGTGGAGTACCTAATGTCTGATTCCATTCCTTCTTACATTAATGCATCAGGCATGACAGGATCCCATTGCTATGTTCCTTTTCACTTTGCAGACAGGAAATGTCTGTCACCTATGTTCACTCAGAATCAAAACAGGCTCCTCTTTCTCTAGGGTGTTCTTTATGAACCTTTTTTGGAAGCAGAGAACAGGAGAGGCTAAATAACCCTTACTATTAATATTAAATAGCAAACATATAAGCTTTAAAAAATGTTTGTATCCAGGTAATTTTATGCCAGACTTGGGCCATTTCCCTCTCACAAACTCTTGAACTTTTTTGATGCCTTCCTAATTTTGTTTATCTAATTTTGTTTTCTAATTTTTATTACAATTAACCAGGGACTTTGTAGCCCTAGGAGATTTCACATTGCCTGGGACACTTGGAGAAATAATTAAGGCATCCATGGTGTGGTGGATAGGCTATTGGCTGTAGAAGCAGAAAACCCTGGCTCAAGTCCCAGTTCTATCATTTGCTCCTGGGGTGACTGTGGGGAATTTGCTTTACTGCTCCGAGTCGGTAAAATGGGAATAATAATACTTGTGCTATTTCACAAGATTGCTACATGGACAAATATCTTTTAAAATTAAAGAACCGTACAATAGAAATGTGAGCTGTCATATCCAAAGACATCAATTGCTATTGTTTATGGTGCTTACATTGATCCCAGATGAAAATGATCTCTCCCTTGGAGGCCCTATGCCTATGGTATGGTAGAGAGAGCTCTAGATTTGTAGTCCAAAGACCTGGAGTTAACTGCTTGCTCTGCTATTCAGTACCAGTGTAACTTTGGGCAATTTACTTAGTTTCTCGTGTCTTGCTTTCCTCATCTGTAAAAATGGCTGGTGGGGAATGGGGATTAGCCTAGATGATGTCTTCTAAATCAAAGATCCCTTCCTAAGCTAAATCCTATAAATCTGAAATTTTCTTACAGTACTTTAGATTTTTCATTTTCCCTTAGAACATTCTACCTTGTATCATATTTACTCATCTATGTGTTATATCCCTTTTGTTAGATTATAAGCTCTTTGAAGGCAGGGACTATGTCATTTCACTGTATCCCCAGCACCTAGCAAAGTCTCACACATAGAAAGCACTTATCTCCTTAACCTCATTCACAGTAATATTGCTTTAGACACCAGTGTAAATTTCCAAATGACTTTAACTGTGATTGAAACAATAAAGAAAGAGGAGAGAAAAACTTCATATTTTAATGATTAATTGTAAAGTGAGTTTTGTCTGAGTGATTTTGTGCTAAAGAATGTGTAGCTGGAGATAAAAGGAACAATGTAGGTTACATACAGTATTTCAAATAGCACAGTAGAAAGTAGTAATAGTACGACAAAGCAAAAAAAAAGATGACGTATTTCAGTAAATAACTAAAAGGGAAACCCATAAATTCTGAGTTGTAATCCTGTCTCTGTCTCAAATTTTCCCTTGCATGACCTTTCCTCTTGTGTGGCATTTGCTAAATCATTTAACTTTAGTTAAATGCTTCCTCATATGCTAAATGAAAGCATTAAGTAGTTGACTCAAGTAATTAGTTTTAGTTTGGGGACTTGGGTAGATAGAGCATTGGGCCTGGGAATTAGGAAGACTCATCTTTCTGAGTCCAAACTCAGCCTCAGACACTAGCTGTGTGACCCTGGGTAACACAGATAGAAAATGTCTGAGGCAGGATTCTAACTCAGATCTTCCTCACTTTGAGTTCAGCACTCTCTCTATCCGCTATGCCTTTTTGCCAAGGACACTTGGAATTCTGGAATTGTAGGTCATGGAAGTCCTTTCTCTCCTCGTGTAATGGTCCTCTTTGGGTCCCAATTCTTCCTTGCCAAGGCTAGCTCTCAATCTTGAGCCACCTTTTTCTTCTGCTTCCTCTTTTTCCTTTGAAGCTACTTCTTCTCATCAGTTACTATTTCTCTGTATTTATATCTGTCTGGAATATGGATCTCTGTTTCCTCAAGTGGGCCTGAGACTCTCTTCATTTGCTGGATAGAATGTCTTGTTTTTGCTAGATGCAATGTCTGAGTGAGAAAGGAAGCAATCTTTTCTTCCATTCCACCCTACTCAGGGATTTCACTCCATAACTACTCTGAGCCTAACTTCCAATTCCTACTCTCAAACTGCTTGCTTTTTAAATATGGGCCTGAGAGGTGTGACTGATTCATGTAAATGTTTCCTGTGTGGTGTTAGTTTCCTTCATCCAGTGGCCAAGTCCCTACAATTCCCACAAGTTAATGTATATGTATATACATATAAATGTAGATCTATCTAGCTCTCTGTCTACCTACCTACCTACATACGTATCCTTCTGTGCCTGCCTGGGTGCAGGTGGAGAGGCAGAAGAGAAAGACCATTTGGGAAAGAAACACTCACTCCTCTTACATTCCTAACCCCGTTGGAATGTGGGCATTGCTGGGAGTTCAGGCTGCACTATTTCTCCTCCCACCTGATCTACTTTCTAGTCACTGCCTCAACTTCACCCTTGCAGAGAACTTTCTCTTCATCTTGGAGGGAAGATGGAAGAGGAAGTAGAGGAAGGAGAAGTGAGTGAGTAAGGCCATGTATTTCTACTCCCAACCTTGTTTTAGATAGTGAATGTAATTTTTTGACTCATTTTTAGCCTATGACAAAGGAAGACAAACCACAAAACTCATTTTAGATCTTCCTTTTGGGAAGTTTATAAAAATTATTAACAATGGAAATGATAAAGTTCTTTTTTTTTTTTTTGGCTAGGCAATGAGGTTAAATGACTTGTCCGCAGTCACACAGCTGGTAAGCATCAAGTGTCTGAGGCCAGATTTGAACTCAGGTCCTCCTGACTCCAGGGCCGGTGCTCTATCCACTGTGCCACTAGATGCCCCTAAAGTTCTTAATAGAAATGATAAAATAAATTTTACAGAACAGAATATGCTTTGGAATCAGCTTCTTCCCTACTCTAGTAAGGGTGAGGGGAGTGGGTTTGAAAGGGGAAACTGTACTTTATTGATTCTACCAAAAAGAAAAGTCAGCAATCACCCCTATTCTGGCAGCTGCAACTCCCAGGGCTCTGGCAAGTGGAGCCATAGACTGCTGGTCCCCAGGGCTCAGGTAGCAGCCCCTCAGGCTGGATCATGCAGGGTTTAGCTGCCCAGGTTCTATTCTCCTGCTCTAGCTTCTCCCTGCTCTCTCAGATAGGCTTGCTGCTGCCGCTGCCTTCTCTACTAGCCAGTCTTGTTGCTGCTTAGTTCAGAGAATTCCATCCCACTGATTATCGAGCTTGTAGCTGTGTCTGGTTCAGAGCTCACAATAGTCTTTGTTCCTCTCATAGGAAAATGTTATATTTGAGACTACATCTCCCAGAAATTCAGACCTCCAA